CAGTCATTTTTTACATCTGGGATAAGGACCTCAATCTTGTACTCAATAAAATTAATGGGGCTTTTGGTGTTGATTTCAGTGGAAGCAGGACTTCAACAGTAATTGGGGACTTCTGTGGAATTTGTGTGTGGGCAGTGGCAATACAAGTGATTTTTTGGTGTGTCTATATTTTTATGAATGTGAACATTTACCAGTTGCTGGATGCATAATGTGCAATGATTAATGACAAATGATTGAATATCATCCACCATCAATAGCAGGCAGTGCAAGATGTTGCTAATTTGCAACCTGCACACAAACTGCAGGTACCCATCATCCAAGAGAGACAGCTGCATTTTCTGACCTTTCCTTTAAACCGATCAGATGTACTTTGCATTCCCAATAAGCTTTCCTCTCTTGCTAGATTACTCACTTGTATCTCCATGTGCAAAATGATTTCGCACCTTGTAAGATTAATTCTCTGCTCCTGGTTGCCTTGATTAACAGTTCAGCAAACTGTGCAAAATGTGGCAAAACAGCCACGACACAGAGACATCTTCACCTCCCAAGAGCAAGGTCAAAAAGACAAAGTTACAGGTTGCTGCCATTGTAAATTGCAGGGGGTTGGAGCTGTTTTCTGCAACAGTAACAAACATCTGCTGTATTTTGGAATACTGTCTATGATTTAAAAATCTATTTCTACAACTGCCAGATTCTTTAGTTATTGGCAGCAAATTTTGCTTGACTAGCTACAAACTTATGAAATTTTTTTCTCTGGGTAGTGTTTGTCTGGCTAAACATTGGACCCAGATGGCTGTATGATGTTTTTTTGATTATGCACTGACACTCCTGTGATTTTGAGATAGGTCTGGTACAGACACACTGTAAAATTAAGGACCTGATGATACAAACCTGTACTCATTCAGTGATACTATTTACCTGGGGTTAAAGCTTTATACAGGCTACTGTGAGCACATCAGACCTGTCCCCTGCTCTCTGCTCTGACTTCCTATAGAATTTCACAGCAAGTTCAAGGTCTCAGTCCTTATCTTCAAGGTGCTCTGTAGCTGGGCCCAGGATATTTAAAAGCTAATCTAAAGCTCTGAAGACCGTGGTTGACAGCTGTGCATCCCTGGCACAATGGAACTCTCAAAGATAAGAGTAAAACTTGTCTGTTCAGGACACAGAACCTTCTCCGGGCATGACCTGAGACTGTTGGATGAACTCCCCCCCAAGAACTAACCACCACACATACCTTCCGGGAGTCTGGTGGCACCTTAAAGACTAACAGATTGATTTGGGCATAAGCTTTCGTGGGTAAAAAACCAGTACTTGACACACATTACCGCTTTCTGCTCCAAGTGCCAGGCACGTTTCTTTGCCCTGCCTCCACTAACATAAACACAGAGCAACGGGAACATTAATACAGCCCTTCCCCAACAACCCTACCCAAAGAAGACACTCCACCACACATGCGTCTCCCTCTGGGGACAGGATGAGAGAACAAACCACATGCGACAGATGAGTAGTGACATTGCTTATGGCACGACTGGAAGGTGCTCAGATAGTATGGTGATGAGTGCTCTATTAGAACTTACATCATGATGATGGAGTCCCACATTGATATCGACGTACAAGGATTCAGCAAACACTAGAGGTGAACACATATATGAGAGGTCAGACCAATGTGAGAACCACCAAAATGGTTACATGTGGGACAGCCAACACTGTTCATGACCATTCCAGGCTGTTGTATCCCTGCTTGCGATGTTCAGGTTTTTCCCATAAGCTGTTAATGCACCTTGCTTCACATGGTTAATGGCAACGTGACCAATCTATCACCGCCTTGGTCGGTGTCGGCTGTTACTTCCCAACTCCTAGGGTCAACCTGACATGCTTTCAAGTTTGACTTCAGTGTGCCTTTCTATTGTTTGTTCTGACCCCCATGAGAATGGATGGCTTTAGCTGACCTAAAATATGGCCTGGGGTGTTCTTAGGTCAGCCACATGTCCAGACCAACACAGCTGAGCTTTCATGAACATACTTTGAATGCTTGACATCAGACAATGAGTTTGGATTTCAATACTGGGAATCTTGTTCCCCCATTTGAACCTCCAAACAGACCGAAGATGGTGTATATGAAACTGATCAAACTTCCTAATGTGGCAGCAATATGTTGTCCATGTCTCACAACCATATAGAAGCATTGTAAGCATGTCTGCCAAAGGGTGCTAATGACACACTTACACTCCTTTTCAAGAACCTCTGTAGAAGAGAATACTCATCCTACCCTACATGTGATTTTTCTAGCATGCTTTATGATGCAAACATCTGAGACTTTACAAAGCAAGTCGAAACACATCCAAAAAAGTCAGTTCAAGCACGTTATTTTTATCAGGGTCCAAAATCTTTGTTAAAGTAACTGCCAGACTCTCAGATAATATGGATTTGGCACTAAAATTATACAACAAACTGTTCTGCATATTATCAGAGTATCTATGTCATGCCGGGCCTGAGCCAATGCTGATGTTGGATCAGATTGAAGTGGGCAGTGGTTGTCTTCCATTAATTTCAATGAGTGTTGCAATGGGCACTCAATACTTTCATGGGATCTATGTGTTTGTAAGGAATTCTCTACATGTGCACTGGACTTTAACACAAATATCAGCATTTATTCATGTACAAGCATAACCCATAAAATGATTTCATCTTGCTGACAACATGGTTCTGATGTCTGTTGTTAATTAGTGGCCCCCTCAAGGATTGAACTCACAACTCTGGGTTTAGCAGGCTAATGCTCAAACCAGTGAGCTATCCCAAGACAGGGTGGGTATGCAGGATGAAGGGGGCTGGTGAATGGGGGGGGGGTGTTCCTTGATAGAGTCAAGTTACTTTAACTCAAGCCTTCAAACAAATCTACAAAGAATCATTTGCTCCCAACTCCAGGCAACCAACTGCAGGGTGGAGATCACACAACCCCCTTTACTCAGCCCCCTGCATAGCCTCCAGTCTCAGTTCAAAAAATCAAAGCAACTGCGACAAAACAAACAGCTTTAACACACTGTATTTGCTGCATAAATTAACATAAAATGAATATCCGACGACTTGAAAACATTAATCAGATTGGGAGCCAGCAGAAAAGAGCCGAGCAGAATTCACAAGTGTTCTTCTCTGAACATCCTGTCTCCAGTCGCTCTTCCTCCTTCTTGCACTGATATATTGCTGTCCTTCCTGCAGGTTTGGAAAATCAATCCCTTAACAGTTAAAGTAATGGCTAGCCCATTATTTATCTCATACATTTTTTAACGCACTGACCAAAAAAAATGTGCTGAAAACATACCCAGATGTGTTCCACTCTGGTTTGAGCCACCCCTTTTGATGTCTGCTTTTGAGTCCTGAGACAAGTGAGTCTAGGAGTTGCTATTAAGCCCTAAATCATTATTTATATTCTAGTATCCTTTGAGGCCCCAGGAGATCAGAGCCACATAGGGCAGGGGACTGTAAACGCATAGTGAGAGACAGCACCTACGCCAAACAACATACATAAGACAAACAAAGGAGGGGAGGGGACAGTAACTGACCAAGGTCTGTAGCAGACCCCTGCTCCTTATGCTTCCTAGGTGAGTGCCCGTACCATCCTGCTGTCCTGGTTTAGGATCAAACTAAAACTAAGGGCCCACCCCGCAAGATCTCCTGCCCATAGATCTGAGTGGCAAGCCCCTGCAGCTTGCCCAACTCCAGCTGCGGTATCTCCCACTGAAGTCAGGTTGTAAGATGGTGCTCTCAGTTGTTGTGCAGCATTGAAATGCCAAATTTACAAGCATCAGCTGACCACTTGCGCCTATGCGTTGGTTGTTTTCAAAAGGACAGTGTCCTGCTAGGGCCAGATTTTTTAGAGGGTACTTTTGCGAATTTTAGGGATTGCGTGAGGCAACTCCAGGTGGCCACTCATGTGCAAACAGGCGCTATTGTCAATCTGGTCCCAGATGTCTTGGGCTGTGTTACAAAAACCTGAACTGGAATAAAAATAATAACCCCACTCTCTCCCCCCACAAAACAAACAACAGCAACCCAAAAACCCCAGTACACTGTACTTCCCCTTTGTTATGCTGCTTCCGGTTCTTGGGCACTAGCACAGGGCATAATGTGCGAATTACAAGGAAATACTGCGGGGGAATGTTAATTTGTTAAAAAGAAAAAATAACCCAGGTTCCATTTGAATTTAAAAGAAAGAAGCATGGGGAGATTTCCATTGGTCTGATGCGTTGTATAAGCTTTTCTCTTGGCAAAATCTTCATTTTGGGCCCGCTTTGGTCTCCCGCTCTCCCCTCAGTGTCTGGTCAATTTTTCAGCCCATCTCAAACTCTGTTGTATTTTTTTAAGTTGGCTGTCCCTATACGAGTACATTGTCTGGCTTTGTCTGGCACTGAGCTCCAGCTCTGGTCTGTGGTTCGCTGGCGGAGAGATGCATTGACACTGTGCAAAGGGAGGGGTAAGGAGGGTGGATTGCAGTGCAGTGGCAGCATGACTGGCCAACAGGAGACTGCTTCCCCCAAGTTTGCTTCGCTCTGCAACTGGTAGAGAGGTGATGTAAGCAGAGCTTAGCCGGACCCACTAGAAGGCTTTCAGGCTGGGGTGGACAGTTATACGTGGGAATGAAGGGGGAGGAAAAAAACCCCTCAGGTGTTTTACACATTGGGAGAAATCACAGTCCAACTGAGCTAGCCTGGAACTGCAAGCCAGTCCCTCTGCACCAGGAGACCTAGAACTGCAGACAGCCCTGGAGCAGCTTTGGTTGGCAGATCCGCTCTGCTCAGCTCACACCTCTCCTCACCTCCCCGAGCTTAGAAACGTGTGCATGGGTGTGAGATTTTCCCCCTGTAGAAATATCTTCCTTCTCTGTGAGCACCACATTCAAATGCCTGCTAAAGCAGCAGCAGCCGCTCACAATCAGGGAGACAGAAGGCTGGCAGAGCTCTCCTGCATTTGCTTTGTTTCTCTTTTCTCATCTGGATTGAATTGATGGACCAGAGCACTGCTGAAGCCAAAGGGGGGAAGATCTAGTTTCCTAACAGAAGGGAAAGGAAGTGTGTGCATTGAGGTAAGGAGCGAGCATGCTTATTTAACTTTACCTAGTCCAAGATTCCAGCTGAATTATTTCGGTTACGATATGACTGCATGCAAGGGCAGCGTGGGGCTCCCATAGCAATGAACGGAGATGACAGACAGCAGCTGAAAATGGGCATTGCAAACAACAATGATGTATTTTCTGTATGTCATCTCACCTGCCAGAATACAGAGGTGATCATCTAACCAGTTCTGCAGCACAAAAGCAGGCAGGGCAATACAGATGCTGTGTGTGTGTGTGTGTGTGTGTGTGTGTGTGTGTGTGTGTGTGTACACGCATGCAAAGGGACTGATGCTACAGTAGATAAGGACATACAGTCCCCTCAAATGAGTGCAATGTGTTTGTGTGTTGTATCTCTACATTTGTGTGTGTGACACAGAAACACGAATAAGATTACTGTGCCTATGTTGCAGAGGTAGGGCTCTGCTGGCTTGACAAAATCTCTTTTCCTAAGGGTTTGCCCCCCAGTGTATGATGATTGCTGGTCTAGACAATTATTGCTTGTTATTAATCCCATTTTCATTATTGCTCTGTTGGTGCCCCAGGTCTTTGCCACAGGCTGGCTAGGTTCAGGATGGATCCTCTCTTCCCTGCTCATATTTTGGAAGATCCTGATCTGAGGAAACTGCTGAACGACTCCTCAATGCTGAACCTGAGTTTTCCCAGTAACTGGTTTAACAACGGCACAGGGGACAGCTTCCTCCCACTGGGCATCAAGATCACCATTGTGGTCGTCTACTCCATCGTGTGCATAGTGGGGCTGGTGGGCAACTGCTCGGTCATGTATGTCATTGTCAGGTAGGCAATGCACACATCTCACCAACCCCCCTCCCCTCGCTAGTCTTCCTGAGAGTGGGGAGTGAGCGGGGGGGGGGGGGGGGGGATAACCTTAGACTGCAAGCGGAAGTGAACTGATGCCCTGGGTGATAGAGACCATGTTTGAAACTCTTGCACTTCTCCAAGTTATTTCCTTTGTATTTTAGCTAAGGAGTTTTTTCCCTCCCTATGGTTCCTCAGGGATGATGAAGGTTTTCAGCCACAGTTCATATTAAACAACCCTCTGGTGCCTCCTAAAGGAAGCAGAGTTAACCCAGAGAACAGAACAGAAGGGTAAAATATATTTCAAAAGGTGGACTCTGCAAATTGTGCAAGGCGCTGCACTATCTGTCAGCAGGAAGAGCAAGGATTTGGAAATAACCAGCTGGCAGTCTGTGAAGGTCCCTGGGGGACTACGGGCACCCCCATTTCACACCGCAGCTCCTGTGCCATGTTAGGGTTTGGGTTTAGACTGGAGAGGGAGTCTAATCCCTTCCTTTGGTTCTATGCAAAAGGGAAACGAAGTGCTTGGCGGCCTCATATCTCTGCAGGGTACAAATCTTAAAAGTTCCGAGCGTCACTATTTTTAAAAACACCATAAAAATAGAATGCAACACAATGTTCCAGAGATGAGGGCAGCATCTCTAACTGCAGATGAACGTCCGGCTCGAGATGCATTGGATTGATTTTCTATAGCAGAAAGACTTTTGTGCGGGGGGGGAGGGTAGAGCAATGAGCAGATGTTGTCCCCACCAGGGTCCATCTCCCGGCATTTAGTGACATGTTTCTGGCCTTTAATATTTAATGTATCAATGATTCTGTACGTAGAAAAACTCAAAGGAGTAAAAACTCTCATTTTCTTCCATGATTTAAACCACCTCTCCCCATGAAGCCAGAGCAAATCATTTCCTGTAAAGTAAAATAAAAATTTGCATCGGGAGGGGGCATCACCCTCTGTTGATAGAACCAGTGTGTCACTTTTGACTCAGGTCACTGCTTATTTAGGGCTGGATTGTGACCCCCTTTCTATTGGGAATGGAGTCACTCAGGTGAGTAACTGCTCAGTAATGTGACGGGGTTCACAGTCTGGCCTGGAATATGGAGCTCTAAATGCTGGAGTTATTTTATACTGGTCTGAGCACATCAAGCTGGGAAATGTTTATTGAAGTAAAATAAAGGGTTGCATGATTATATTTTCTTTATTCTGGGCCTGATGCTGCATCTCTCATTCATGCTGAGAAGCCCTTACTCTTGTGAGTAATCCCAATGGGACTCCTGTGAGTACGTGCTGAGGAAGGGTCGCAGAACCTGGCCCTAAATATCACAGCCATTCGAATGAGTCTGGCTCGGTGAGAAAAAGGCCAAGACTTGCTGTTTTGAGCAGGCAGCCTTTCAGTGCTCTTACGGCAGAGAAGTTGGTGGATGGAAGGAGGAGACCATGACAAAACCCCCTGGACAGGGAGGGGCTGACCCTGGAGAGTGTGGAGACATGGGGGGGCCATGCTGCAGCTGCTGCACCATGTTTACTTGGTCTGTTGCAAGGGGATCAGTGTTCGGCTAATCTTTGCCTTTCTGATCCATTTATGTTGTTATTAGTATTATTATTCAGTACCATCTGTTTAGCACCAGAGTTGGGCATGATGCTTATCGATAGCCAATCAGGCAAGGCCTTCTGCATCCCTCCCCTCTCTCCTCGTGCAAGCCCCAGGATCAAGAAGTGTCTGCATTTGCAGGAGCATAGGGATTGCTCATGCTGGGCCCCTCCTGGGACTAATCCACTCCAATGGGTACTGGGAGGAGATAGGGCTAGAGCTGTGATACCTTTCCCTTTCCACCCTGACCGGGTGCGGAGAGGGGCATAGACTGTAGCATGCCAAGAGCAGTCCCTCCACTGGGAAGGGCTGTGCCTCTTGGGGCGTCCCCGGGGGTCATTCGGCTGCGCACCTCATCCAGTGCAGGCTGGAGCCTTCATTGCATGACCTGTCTGCAATCCAAGACCTACATCCACAGACATAATAAACACCGCGCATGACTGATGGTGCCGGGAGAGGAACCGTCGGGTGACGGAAATGGGAATGGGGACAAGTGTTGGGCGAGCTTCTGAAGTTAGAAGGAAGAGAACCCTGTAACTCCAGGACCGTCATTTCAAATGGGGCACACGGGTGTTCTTCCCCCCGGCCCTGCACTCATCTGTTGCCTCTGTAGAGCGCCTGCATGTAGTACAGTTGTGGGTTGCAGATGCCCCAAGTGGTCTGGCTCAGAAGAGGAGCATGGGGGTGTGGCAAGCCAGGGCCATTGGATGTGTCCTAATGCGCTCGGGGCTGGAGCCAATATTCCAATATTCTAAGAGCAGCGACTGAAGGCAGCCTGCAGGTTGTGGGGAGTGGTTTCTGTCCCATGGAGTTCCCCACACAAAGTCAGACTGTTGATGAAATTTGGTCTCGGTAACATTCAGGAGAAGCGCCTACAGAAGTGCGCGGTGTGCACATGGATACAGTCATTTCACACAACTCCGCACTCTGGGCTAACAGCAGGAACAAATGGAAGTAGGCAACATGATGCTTGTTTACTGCGCTGTGGCTGTGATATTGTACAGCTGGCCACATTTCGCCTGCACTGCTGAGTAATGCGCTGAAGAGGGGTTCTGTGCCACGCCTTGGCTAACTCTACAATGCACTTACTTCCTCGGCCAACCTAAGTGCTGGATTGAAATGGCTGCACAGGCGATTTATTTATGATTTGATTTTTTAGGCCCCTGAAAGATGTATTCCTTCCCTGCCGAAATGGAACCCTTCCCCCCCACCCCTGTGTAAGAAGTGCCTAGGAAGTTTTAACCCTTCTCCCAGTAAAAAAATATGTGTAGGAATGTTTTATGACCCCAGATATTCCTGCCTTACCGGGAGACAGGCCTGAACCCCAGCCCTGGATCTGAACAGCCCTGAACTCTAGGGAGCTGGAGAAGGGGTTTCAAAATCCACATCCAAAGAGCCCCGGTTTTGATAAATGGTCAACCCCAAACCCTAGATCTTAACATCCCTGCAGTTTAAAGGTTCAGAATCCAGATGCAGCATTTTGGTCTAGCTCTCATGAAATCCTATGGGGTCCTTCAGGGAAACCTGAGGTCCAATATGGGGTGCGGAGGGTCTGTGTACAGGGGACGGGGGAGTGAACTGGCTAAACTGGTTGGCGAAGGGACACATGTCATGTGCTCCCAAGAAAAAGTACATGGGAAGTTTTTATACATAAATCCCTCCAGCTCAGGCACCCTACAGCCTCAGTTTGGGCTAAAGCTGGATGAAAAATTTCCATAAAAGCATTTTTTTCAGTGAAAAGTGGGGTTTTAGATTAAATACAAAAATTCACAGAAAATGTTTGCTTTACTTGATCATTTATCTTTTTTGTGTGTAGAAAACTAAAAATGTTTCAGTTTTTGGTCCAAAAAATTCAGTTTTTGGCATCTGAAAATTGAAAATATTTTGACTTCTAGGTTTTTGGAAAAAATAAAGCTGAAATTTTCAGTGGAATCCCTCCAACCCCAAGTGCACCCATTTTTCTGACCAGCTCGGGTTTGTACCACATAAATGACCTCTTCCAGGACATCTTCACTCCCTTGCTTCCATTTCCTAATGGACTTTTTACTTCTTCTTGGCTTTAAGATTCTTGCAATTTAAAAAAATATATATTTTAATGAACCTTTCTATAAGGGTGATTAAAAACAGACATACAAACAACCCGCTCCCCTCCCCCCCCGCCGGCAGTATTGTGAGTTGTGACTTGTCCATAGAGTTTCTAGCACAGTGGATCTCTGATCCATGGTTGGGGTTTGTAGGTGTTACAGTGATGGAAATAATAAATAAGACTGAGTATCAAAAATGTCAATGGAAAGGTCTCATGGATGTCATCGCACTCCTCTTCCATTGAGCAGCTTGTGTTTAACTGAAGCAAAGTGCTATTTCATATTCGTGTCTTAGGGAAATGTGAGCAAATGAAGCTAATTCTCTCTGCTTGCTAATAGAGCAATTCATGCCTAATGTCAACTGAAATGTTTGGGGGAAACAATCCATTCTAGTTTCGACCAGTCCCATAAAGGAAAAGGAGAAGGCAGAGGAGATTATGCGAGTCCTGCTCAGCGCCATCCCTGTGCCCTGGCAGGTACTAAATAGATATTGGCTGGATTGAAAGGAGTGTTACGAGGACAACCAGGAACATTATTCATCCATCTCTCACTGGCAGTGTAGGCAGAAGAACATCAACCTGAAACATAAACATACTAGGCCAAATTTTCATAATGGTGGCCACCATTTTGCTCCTGAAGTTCACTATCCAAGATTGCAGATGCAAATTTTTCAGAGGCAAAGAGCGCCTATAAAAAGACAGGGGAGCCTCAGCCCTTTTGAACTTTGACATGATGCATTTAAAAAACCACACTGATGTTTTTCTGTTTAGGGGGTGTGGAAAAACAGACGCAGGATATTTTGACCAATAGTGACCCTTTCCATCTTCACTGAATACAAGACCATGAACACTAGACAAGGGAACAGTAGCCCAAATTGCCCCAGAGGTCCATGGAATAGTTTCATGGCTTGCCCGCCTTTGTGTTTTCATAGATATTTGGGTCTGGCTACTGGGTGATGATGTTTGCTCTGAGGAGGTAGCATGTAAATAAATGTAACTCTGAAAATAGTGTATATACACACTGTATGTAGTCCATCCTTAGCCCCTCCCAGAGGATTGGCTTTAACTCAAATAATGGTGATACAAACCTCAGTTTCCTCCCTAAGCTTGATTATTCCTAGGTTTCCTTACAGCTCCCTTTCTGTCCCAACTCCTGCTTCCCTCCAACCTCACTTATATCCTAGTTGGATATAATGTCTCAGCACTATGAATCAGCAGTAAGTACCCAACATCTTTGTACAGGGTTCAAGCACTAGGCATGAGGGTGACTGGAAGAAGCCCTGAATCCCTATGAAGACTCTCAAATC